TGCTACGATTTGCAATCAGTATTAAGTACACCATCATCTCACGTTTCGAATTTTTATTATTCTCGCAAATTTTCATCTTATAATTTCACTATGTTCAACATGGCAAGCAAAAAAGGTTATTGCTACTTATGGCATGAAGATCAAGGCAGAAGAGGAGCTAATGAGATAGGAACTTGTATATTTAAATTTTTAACTACTAATTGCTCACATAAAAATGTAATATTTTATTCGGACAATTGTATGGGTCAGCAGAAAAATAAGTTTATTGCTGCAATGTATATTTTTGTTGTTAAAAATTACAACATTAAATCAATTGAGCACAAATTTCTTATTGTCGGACATACTCAAAATGAGGGAGACTCAATGCACTCCGTGATTGAAAAAAATATAAGCAGAACCGCTAAAGCTGGACCGATTTATTCACCAATGGAGTGGCGTATAATATTGCAAAATTCGAAAAAAAAAAACCCAACATATGAAGTTAATGAACTAAACTATAAAGATTTCTTGGACTTAAAAAAGCTGACCGAGGATTTGGGAAAAAACTTTAACATAAATTCAAGAAAAGAAAAAGTCAAATGGAGCGACATAAAAATTTTAAAAATTCAAAACGAAAATCCTAATATTTTGTATTACAAAACAAATTATGATTCTGATTTTTCAGAAATACATATTGTTGAACAGAAAACAAGAAAATCAACTTCAAATATTCCAACAGAAATGAGCAACGTGTTCTCGGAACCAGTGGGAATATCTGCCCAAAAAAAAAAAGACCTGACTGATTTGTGCGATAAATTATTAATTCCTGAAAATCACCACTATTTTTATAAAAATTTAAAAATATCAACACAAAGTGTTGATGAACACAAATAAGTTATTTTAAAAATAAGTAACTATTAAAGATTTTGTTAAGTTTGAGCACCATTTTAGTTTGTTTTTCATATTTTTTTTTATTTATGAATGTATAAGTTGCCATACAAAACAAAAAATAAAATATTAAAATACTTTAAAAATATTAAAAATGAAAGTTCAAAAAATGTCAATATAATTAGTATTTTACGGTAGAATGCCAGTTATGTTTAAATTAAAATTTTTTCAAAAAAATTTGAATAGAATTTGAATAAAATTTATTAAAAAAAAAATAAAAACAATATTTTATGTTTTTCAAATGTTGAAACCATACCAAAAAAAACAAAAATTTAGCCACATTTCAAGTTATTGCATAAGTTTTCAATTTTTAGTTTAGTAAAAAAGGACTTTATTTTCATTTGAAGCAAGCGATGTTAATAAAATAATTCTCCCATTTTAGTAAAAAACGGACTTATTTCAAGAAAATGCATGTATACCGATTTGGCATGTAGTAAAATAGTTCACAATTTCGTTTTGTTGCGCTTATATAATTTTTTTCTTGGTAGAATACCGCAATATTTGATTTTAAAGCACGAATTTTATTTCAATTTTTAATATAATAGCGCAATATTTTGTGTAGTGGCATCAAAATTCTATATTTTTTTGTAAAATAACACCTTAAACAAAATTACTACAAAAGAAAAAATTAACTACTTGTGAAATACAGCCATAGCTTAAAAAGTGGCTGTTTTCAGTTTCCATACAAAATTTTGCAAATTTTGAATCTTAAATATCTCGAAACTTCAAATTTTGGAATGTGGCGATATTATATTAGGGGTGCGATATATTATTTAATTATATAAATAATAATAATAATATTATTTAAGAATAATATTGCATTTTTATAAAAATCATAAGAATTTTTCCTTTTATTTTTACAACAATTTTGCAATTTCTTTTTTTGTAAACTCTTCTTGCTTTTTATTATTAATTATTTTTAACAAATGTATATACATGTATAATTTAAATTTATTTTTTAAAGTTGAAAAATATACAATAATATAGCTAATCACTTTATAATATTTTAAAAACAATAATAATAAACAAAAAAAATTTAAAAAAAATAAGCTGCAATTCGTTTTATTCCCTATTATAACACTGTACACTGTCGATAACAAACTACCAAAGAATTTTTTTAAATAACTTACCATTTTTTATACAATATTTACCATTTTATATATTTTATTGGAAATATCTATATATATACATAATATATAATGGTATTAGGTATATGTTTTGTATGTTGGTATGTATTTAAAATTACATTAAATAGAATTTATTTTCTTTTTGTCCCACAACGCGAAAACTTATCACTTAGTTACCAAATAAAGGTGTTAAATAAACATTCATATACATATATAATTATAAGAGAGAATTTGTTTTATGAATTAAATATAATAATGCGAAAGAAGTGAAAATTTGCAATGTTAAGTTGATTTATTAAAAATAAGAAAAAAAAAAAGGAAAAAAATAAAGAAAAAATTTAAAATTTAAAATTTCCTCAAAAAGGATTTCACGAAATTTTTAGTTATTTATCATACTTATTATTAATCATACACAACATACCTATGTACATGTGGAATTAAAATAGCAAAGTTTTTATGGAAACACAAATTCGAATCCATTAAGATATAAAAAATCTCTGTGTTATAATTTGGAAATAGTTTCTTTCAATGTTTTTAAATTTAAACCAATTTTTTTCACAATATAATATCACAGGACCTTTTATTGTTATAGGACATATTAATAGAGGGTAAATATATTTTTTTTTTAAATATTTTGTATAATTGGCAATATTTCAAATTATTTTAATAAAATAACCGGGTATTTAAACTAATTTTTTGAAATTTATAATTTGAATCTACTCCTACTGAATCATAAAATTTTTATTGAATATTGCCAGAATTTAGCTATATAAATGTATATACATACATGTATAGATAGAATAAATAAATGAAAAATTCTCCCAATCTAAATTCCCTTAAAATTTATTATATGTTTGTATGTCCTGTAGCCCAATTATTTAACTTTTTTTTTTATTTTCTGTTACAGAAGGTATATCTTAGGTAATCTTATATTTAGAGGACACTTGTAATTATTTAACGTTTTTCGATTTAATATTATTTTTTTTTTAAAGTATATACCTTACTTGTTTGATTAATTTGAAATTGTATAAAAAATGACAATCTAATATATTGTATCTATCATCCATAGACCATATAATGTATGTGACATAATATGTATAAATCATAGGTGTACATACAGTCATATAAGATAATTTAGTTTTTAATTTTTATTAATTAAAAAATTTAAATTGAATATTTATTTTTGCTAAAAAGAAAAGGAGGGAAATAAAAAAATACAATGGCAAGTACGCTAAAACAAAATAAGATAAAAACTTTAATAATGCTGACCAGCACCAGATAATGAAAAGTACGAAATAATACTAACAACGGCCTAGCAAAAACCTTTACTATAACGGATTTAACTTACTCGAAAGTCTAGATTTAATGTTAATAAAAATTAACACATGCAACATTCTTGTATCAGACTGGTTCCTGCCTTAATCAGTGTAATGAAATCAAATATTATATAACAGACCTCAGATTCTTTACATTATTCTTAAGAGAATATTATCCTAATGAAGAAATCTCATTAGCGTTAGGCAAAATCTGACAGTTAAACACTATATTTACAATCATTCGACACATCTATAATGACAGCAAGTCGACCAGCAGCATTCTAGCTTCATATAATATAAACCTGTATATGGATCAGACCAACCCATTCCTCTTAATACTCAAAACGTTACACTTGATAAGGTCACGTTTTGAGTTATTTTTTAACCATTACTTCGAAACCACAAACCAAAACTGTCCAAATTTCTCTATAAAGTGAAGCAATTTTTTAAAGAGACCCCGAAGCCACAAAAGCCGCTCTAGCAGAATTAAATAAAAGCACGCACGAAAACAGAACATTGAACAGAATTTTCATTCGAAACCCGAAAACCAACTCTAGGAAAATAATGATTAAAGTCATGATCAACCCCATCGCAGTAGCAGAACCAACCATCTCTACAAAAAAAACAACAGCAAACTGATGGTAATCACCAGTGCTACAAATAAAATAATCTCAACGAGACACAGTAAAACTTCCAAGAACTAACCAAACGGATAAGATCACATAATAACACATAATCATCGACAGGAAAACCCACTCCAAATATAGCCATAAAAGAGGTTCACTAACAAAGAATGAGTAAGGGTTACCAACACAAATCTTAATGCCGTAATTTAAGTCCATACAAAACATGTAACGGCTAATTGCTTACCTTTGTTACTTTGCTGCTTTAAAAGCTTTGAAGATGAAACAAATTACACAAGATCACTTCACGAGATAAAAATTAAAAAATAAGTTAGTTAAATTTTAATAAAAATAAGCCAAGAGGCTAGTTTTAAAGCAACTTGATTAAAAAATAATAAATTATATAAAAAATTTGTTAATTTGTTAACATTTGGGTAGCGAGTGGACTAATTTGCCAATTTTTCACGCAATGGCAACATTGTACGATATTTACGGTATTCTTTATGTAAATAAAATTCCTTATACTCTTGACAAATTTGATCGTATTTTTATCGAATTCGGTATACACATAAAAGCAAGTTGTTGCATTAGATACATTTTTAAATACATAATAGCTAATCCTAATTTTATGGTATGTTAGAGGGTTTAATTTTTGGTTAAAATTTTTTCATGATCGTTTTTGTTTTTCTGATCAGAACTTGAATCTGATTTAATTCTGAGTTGCCAGAGAATGCACTGATAAGATTGGAGTGTGTAGTAAATGAGATCTTTGAAATCTGAAAAAAAAATTCAAATCATTATTTAAAAAAATTGAATAAGTATGTCAATTTATAATATTATAAATGTTTAATTATATAATTGCTTGCATTACTCTATTCGCAATATTTTATTATGTATCGTCAAATTTCATATTGTGAATTGATTTTGAATTTTAATTAAAATGAATTCTATCTTTCAAAAACATGTAAATTCATTTTTCAACCAACGGCAGTACTGCTCCAATTTTATATTTCTTTGACATTTATTTACAATTTTTTTATTGGTAAAAAATATATTTTTCATAAATAAAAGATTGGTGCAATTTTATAAATTTGGTGTAAATAGCTTTTATAGTTTCAATTTTATTTAAACTGTGTAACAAAAATTGGTATTATTGGAAACAAATGCCGTTAAACGAAAGTTAGAAATTTACGATTTTTATAAAAACATATGGGATAAAAAAAGTCGAAGACAATAAATTTATACAAAAATTTATAATGTGGGAATGCCACAAATGTGGGAAACCAGTTTATTTTGCTGAAAGAAAGCAGTCACTTGGGTATGATTGGCATCCAGAGTGTTTGCGATGTGAAGAATGTGGAAAACGCCTTAATCCAGGGCAACATGCTGAGGTAATATTAATGATTAACATACACCGATCGAAAATTAATTTCAATAAAATTAGCATAAGGGCATACCTTACTGTCATGTTCCCTGTTATGGGGCGCTTTTCGGACCGCAATTGTTTGGACACGGGACAAGAGTTGAATCTCACAAAAGTTATGGCCAAAAAGGAACACCAAAAACATCTGGGAATATTTCAACGAATAATCTCGAAACCAAAATAAAGGTAGCTAAATAATTAACAAAAAAAACATGAAAGATAACTACCTATACTTATATTTGCAGCTTTACAATAAATTCTTCAATAATAAGAGCATGGAAATACGTAGCCGGGAAGTTAATAATAGATTAATTCTAGAAGGAGCATTACGTGTTTATTGGGGTGTTCATGGGGTTATCCATTTGAAGGAAGATGTTGATCAGAGGCCAGTTGTTGTTGTTAGGAAGAGAAATTCCTGCAGAATAGGGAATGATGATGAAGTTAGTTTTGTTTCTTTTTATTACATTCTAAATACTATGTATTTATCGTTATAGGAAGGCAATGACGCAGAAACGTCCGACAGAGAAAATGATGAAAGCGAATCTGGATTGGAAAGTACTACAACAAGTGCTTTGGATGGTTACTCAACAGACATATCAATGTCGGAAAGTATGGCTTTTGATTCAAGTATAGCAGAGGACACTGTAGCAGAAATATCAAGTAACGAGGATGAAAACTCTCCAAATAAGATTGCAGCTACTCTACCGAGCAAATTTGATACTATGAATGCGGAAAAAGAATATTTAGATGAACTTTTGCAGGTAAAACTAAATAAAATACTGGAGTTCTTTACCCCTTTCGACAAAAGGATCTCATCCTTTTTGATACAAAAAGAAAAGATTCAAAACTAGATTGAGCAAAATGAGTTCATTGAATCAGTCGCCCATTTTAGGTCTCTACAACGTCAATATAAAAACATTTTTTTTTGTCCTAAAATCTAATTTTCGCCGGTTAAGTATTAAGCAGTTTTGAAAATATATCTCATAACAATATTTGACTGCAAGTATTAGTAAAATTAAATATTAAAGCTCTGTTATAAAAATTCGCAGAAAAAGTTTAGATATTGTAAATCTTTAAACTGTGATAAGAACTTGCTAAAACTAATCAAAGCAAATAACATAATTCTTTAACAGGTAGAGAGAAATCTTGACAGTGTCAATAAAGGGTACCAAACTATGCCATCACCATCACAGTCTTCTTTAAGCGAAACATCAAAATTAAATTCTAAGCAAAACAGTATCGAAAGCACCGACAGTGATTCTAAAAGTTCTTCTAAATATGATAGTATTGAAAATGATATTCTTGATTCTAAAACTTCTACAAAATATGACAGCATCGAAAATATAAATGAATCAGCATCATCTAATCAGCTAGGCACAAATACATTCTCTGAAGGTACTGAAGATGACAGTACATTAAAGCCATTAGATTTCGAAGATTTCAAAAAGAGCATGTATTTAGAATATGCGAACGGTTCTAAAGAAATGCTAAATAACGACAGTTTAAAAGCTAATCAACCAATAGATCCATCCCGAATAAATGATTCCTTAAAACTTTATAATAATACTACAGATATGATGAGCAAAAGTTTTAATTGTGAAGCTGCCCTTAGAAGTATTAATTCTCAATATCCAAATGAACTGTTAAACGGGAGACGCGTTTCAGAAGACTTATACGCACTTAAATCATATGCAGTACAAAAAAGTGCATCGACTTCATCAAAAAATACTGCAATATACGAGAATCCAACCCGGTATGAAAAGGGTTTAGTACATTCAAAATCGGATCACAATTGCTTTAGTTTCCTGGATAGTGAAGAAGAAACGACTTTAAGACCCTCAACAGTTAAAAGAAATGATGCCAAATTTATTAGTATCAATATGAACTGCTATAATCAAAACAAGCAAGCAGACATATTAAATAAATCTTTGGAAAAGAGTACCAATAATACAGTTACTGATGCATATGAAGATCCGAATTCACTATCGGATGGGAAACCCTACATAACTGAAGATGGTGTTCAATTAAGAAGAAAATTCAAAACAGGTTCCACTGCCATTAAACGTCGCTCTGGAAATAAGAGGTAATTTTGAATTCCCCATAATTTTCAATCACATTCCTACTTTATGTATTTTTTTTTTTTTTTTTCATTTTTATATTTTTGTCTAGAACTCGAATAAAGTTAAAACGTCGTTGCTCAATTAATGGTCATTTTTACAATCGTGAAACATCATTTTTTACTCCTCCATATGGATCACAAATGAGTGTTTGGGTAACATCATTAGTAAACAGTCTCGAAGTTATAAATTTGTTGTTGGAAAAATATAAAGTTGATAGTCAGGCACAGAATTTTGCCTTATTTATTGTTAAAGATAATGGAGAACAAAGAAAGTTAAAAGATGATGAATATCCTTTAATAGTTCAAGTTATGCTCGGACCGCATGAAGATGTTTCAAGGATATTTTTAATGGACTCGAAACAAACTCAAGAAATAAGGTAATTTCGATGACAGAAAATTAATTCACGTGTCCATTTAGAAATTTTACAAATATGTATCTAGACAGTTTTTTGTTTTGTTAGTTTTTCATTACTTTTTGTATTCATTATTTTTTATTTTTGCATAAAATTTTCCTTTTAATAATTTTTATTCTATTAAATAATTTGCGAATAATTCTCTTTTATTGTTAAAGTAATGAAGTCGCTCAATTCATAAATTTATCAGTACCGGAGTGCCAAGCTATTTTATCAAGATATTCTTTAGAACAAGAAAAGGAAGTTGTAAAAATTAAAAACAAGTATGAGGAAATGCGTCGTCGAATCGTGCATCGCATGGAAACTTTGAAAGTTCGCCTTTAAGATAAAAGCAAATAACGTGTATTTATTAATATTACATTGCAATTATTATAATAGAAAAGTAAAAGATAAAAAACTTTTATAAAACACTTAAATCGAATATTATATCATCTCTTGTTTTTATTTGTTTGGATTTTATTAATGGCATATTTTATGTTATATTAAATATTTTGCATATACGTGAAGTATAGTTTCTGTTTTATTTATTTTTTTTGGAATCAATTATTTCAGTTTTGCAAATTTTGTTATTCCTCAAGTAATCAGTTAAAAAGAATAATTATATAAATAAAAATTTGCTTCTTTCACGCCAAAAAAAAAAGCAAGTTGCGTTAATGACCTCTAAATTTTTGTTGTCCTTTGTGTTTTCTTCTACTAGAATTTTTAGCTCAAATGAATATTCTATTATATATTTATTAGCAAAATTCATCAAATTATCATTTATGAAGAATTGAATGACTTGAGTCTAGGTAATGAAAATTTTGAAACTATATAAAATAGAAATATTTGGATGGATCTGTTAACTGACTAATAATCAAATCCACCAAAATTTTAAAATTTAAAACTTAAGCAAAATAAGTCAATAAATAAATACCGATAAAATAAAATATTTTATTTACAATTGCAAGTACCATTACACGTGTTTAAATAATAAATTGGATGGTTTTTTTTTTTATTTTTTGAATCTTAATTTAGCTAACTTAAATGAATATTATGTTTTATTCTTTTAGGTTATTTTATTAAAAAAAATAAAGTAAATGTTTATCCAATAAATATCTAATTATGTTATATATATAATACATATTACAACAAGTTTGGTAATTTTATATTTATATATATTTTTAATATGAATTTTTATATGACTAAAATTTAAGCCAACCTAGTACAGTGGAACGCAAATTTCTAACTTTTCCATTATCTACATCAGCATTTTGACTATTATTTTGTTGTAATAAAAGTTGTCCTTGCCCTTGTGGTTTTTGCTGTAATTGCAAATGCTGTTGTTGTAATTCAGTAATTGGATTATTAGTAGTGCTACGGCCAGCAGTGCTTATGCGACGAATATTAGTTGTAATATTCATTTTAGGTTTGATTGATTTCGAATTGATATTATCTGTTTGTGCAAAATTAAAACTAGAGTCTTTTTTAGCATTATTATTAAGTCTATGAAAATTTGTTGAACTACTATTAAAAAAACTTCTATCATTGTTATTCTTACTATTATTATTAATATTACTATTATTGTTATTAATATTATTATTACTACGACCAGGTGCTGATGATGAAAAACTGCTAATGTTACTATTATTACTATTTTGATTATTTCGTGATAATGAGTCCAAGTTACGAGCTCGTGATGAAGACATGTGTTCACGTTTATGCTTTATTATTGGTGAATTACTGTTAAATTTTGAATTATGAAAATTGTGTTTATGTTGTTGATTTTGCTGGGACGGATTTAATTTTCCTTGATTTAACGAAGAAGACATTGATTGACCAACACCTGCTGAAGTACTACTTCCAGTACTTTGCAAATTCGACGAAATGGGTATAGATGATGTAGAACTTCTATTTGCAATTAATAAAGAATTTTCTTTTCGCAGACTTTGTGCTGAACTTGGTCTATTTAAATTTGTTGGTGATTTCCCACAAAGATTACCAGTGCTACGGCATAAGTATTTATTTGAAATTGAACCCGAATTGCTCATATTAATTGATTTTGTATGTACAACGCTACTTGATAAACGTCCAGTTGGAGGTTTTGGTGATGTTAATCCGATTTTGCTACCTGGTAAAGGAATTCTACTTGGTGGTCTTGGTCTTTCTCGACGTTGTGCCATATCCGTTATTATATTAGTTTCAACATTTTCAGCTATGCATGTACCATTTTCATTATGATCTTGTGCTGATTCTGTACTACTGCTATTATGCTGAATAATATCTTCGATTGCAATCGGTACCATAGCTTTCATGCTTGGAGTTGATATTTGCCTACATATATCTTCCATATCGAAAATGTGTTCTGATGCACTAGTTTTAGCTGACAAAACTGTATCTTCGTGATTCGGATTTGACATTTGTGAATGAAGTATTTCATCAGTTGATGAAATTGTCGAGGCATTGTTAAAACTTAATTTTGAGGTTTGCGATTCTAAGATTCGTAACTGTGCTTTAGTCCCTTCCAATTCAATTTTCTTTTCTTCAAGCTAATTGAACAAAAATGCATTTAATAGAAAACATAAAAAATAAAAAAATTAGTTATCTTAAATAATTGGAGTAATAATTGAATGTTATAATATTTTCGGAAAGGATGTTTCTTAAAATGTATGTAAAATGATTTTAGACAATCTTACTCAGAATTTACTTTAATTTACAGTATATTCAATAAAGTTTAATTAATTTGCAAATATGGATATTTTTATAATTGTAGGCAATTAAATTTGCAAGAATTTTAAATTTAGAATTACAGGAATTTCAGATTACCGTACACCGAACATAGCGATAGAAAATTCGAAATTTTATTTGATTTTTTAATTGCAATTATTTTTTTAAATAATTTAATTTTTGTTTAGCTAGTTTAATTATTACTGCTTACTTGGTAGGAAAAAATGTAGCATATCGAAATGCATAGTACAATCGTTTTAGTAATTCTTCTTTTATTTAAAAGAAGAATTACTAAAACGATTGTAAAAAATGTGCGTTTTACTTACCTGAAAACGAAAATCATCTATGTCTTCTTTTGATTTTTCAAATTTTTGACTTATTTGAAAATTCGATTTTGTCGCTTCATCTAATTTTTGTGTAAGGACCTTAATTTAAAAATTCAAGTAATAAGTAATTAAAATTACCTAAATTAATATTTTATTTACCTGATTTTGAACTGTTAAAGTCAAAAGATGCCTTTGTAATTCAATTACATTAGTTTCTTTAAGTATAGCCGAAAATTTTCTCGAATCAATAGCACGTTGTTTAGTTAAATGGCAAGGCTCGCTAATGAAACCATCTAAATGTCCCAAATTAATTGTATTGTATTTACTACTTTGTTTAATATCACTATGGAATGTATTTGCCGATTTTTTTATATTAATGCTTTTAGATAATGGTGTATTAAATGTATCATCGCTTTCTATAATGGCTGGTGAAAAAACGGTTGCTGTAGATGTGCTTTTACTTGAATTATCTCTATCTTTTAAGCCAGTCGTTGGAGAATATCTAGACATGAGATTTAGTGGTCCAGAAGCTAAAGGTGTTGAAGTATAATGTCGATGATTTAGTGTATCTGACGGACTAAAAGATCATAAGAATATTATTGATATTTTCGTTAGAATTTTTTAAATTAACTTGTTTTAAATTAACTTTGTTCATTTACCTTGAGGAATTATTCGTAAAGCCACTGTGGTATTTATTAAATTCTTGTAATCTGGAATTAAGCTCCATTTTTTGATTAAGGACTAATTTTAAATGCTCTTCTAGCTCTCTTTTTATTTTAGTTAATTCATCAACTTCATTTTCCATTTTAGTCATTTTAATTTTACCTGTTAATGTTTCAGCTTCCATTTCGGCCAATTTATCTAAAAGTTCATCGCGTTCCTTACGTAACAACTGTACATCATCTTTATTTAACTTATCCACATATTCTTGTAAAACTTTTTGATTTACACAGCCTTTAGACGTTGAAGCAAAACTACATTTGTTGCCAAACTGATCTAAAAGCACTGTAGTCGCTTGATTTTTATAATTTCTATTTGTTTCACGATTTTGAATGCTCTCAATTTCTTCTCTAACTTTGTTACTCTTTCTATGAATTACATCTAGTAAATTTAATAATTCATCGTCCAACTCATTGAATGTTAATCGGTTAGCTACTACAACTCCCTAAAAAAGATTGTTTAGTTTTTTTTTGAAATATTGTTCTTCATTTTAAAATAATATTTCGTTGTTTATTAAATAGATGAAAAATAAAATGTATTGTTATCTAATCTAAGGAATAATCATTTTTTAATTTATATACCTGTAAAGCACCCGTTGTTGAAGAAGCGCTGTGTGCCTCTTTAGATGAACTTGTTTCCGTCGAGAAACCAGAGTCTTGAATAACAACACTGCCATTTCCCTCACCACTTTTTGGTTCTTTTTTACCACTATGGGAATTACTTCTGCTACGAGTTAGCGATGATGAAGACAATTCAGTGTGATTTTGTGCTGAATTAATAGTGCTATCATTAGCACCACCTTCAGCAAATATTGATGATGATGATGAATCTTTTAACTGTACTAATTTTCTTTTGATTCGTATCCCCGGTTCCCATTCTAGCCTAAAATTAAATGAAAAGGAATGTGATAAAAATTTCTGTAAAGTGTTCTGTTATCATATATTATGATAAACATTTTTATAATATTAGAATATCAATATAGTCACTGTAAAATTACCTAGAAACAAATGGTGAATTAGATCCTGAATTACCAGTCAATGTATGAGAAGCTGACATAGAAGCCATTTTGCTTTTAAGATCTGGAAAAGTTTCTATTACTAGATTGCGAAATTCAAGTAAAGCTCCAACTTCATTTTGTAATTCCTGTAGAGACTTTGTTTGATCCGGTATATGATGGTAATGATGATGATAATAACTGCTTCCACTTATTGGTTGTCTTAATGGACATTCCATCATAGCTTGCCCTGGTCCGTTATGACTAAGATCACTCTTTAATAAAATTGAATATATGAATAGTATTATAAAAATGCGAGTTTTAGAAATATTTATAATATATAATATAAAAAAATATGAAAAAAAAAACAATCGATCCAATCACATCTATAGTATAAAGCCGAATAAAAATTAAAATGTAAACATTTCAAAAAAGTAAATTTAAAAAGGCAACAAACCTACTTGTATTTATATACATATATTCCTTATTATGATAAGAAAATATGACGGATTTTTTAACAAAAGATTCGGGTACATAATTAGGAGCTACTTTATCAGTAAAAGTTATTTTTCATATTTTTTTCCAATTCAGCAAGACAAACAGGCAATTTACTTTACAACATAGATAAAATAATAAAAGGATACTAGGTATTAAACTGAGTATATCTTTTGTGTATTATACAGTAAATTCAAGAACAAGTAACAATTGAAGAGTATTGTAAAAAAAAAGGTAAAGCCTGAAATAGGTAGGAAAAAATCATCACACATGTGCGAACACGATATAAGATCTTATTCTTCTTAATACTGATAATTGATATTATTTGCTAATAATATGGAAAGAAAGATTGAAAATTATTAGTCAAGCAAATAATAATTGTGTAAATATTTAAAATTAATAATGATTAATTTAGTAAAATTTAATTTTTATTAGAATTTCGTGTTTTCTCAATTTTGCTGTACATATTTTTTTTTTTTTGATTTAAAAGGTCCTAAAACTCATATTAGCTGGAGAAAAGACTAGACACGTAGATTGTATATATTGATATTTAATAAAATCTAGACAAAGTTTATTTTGAACATCGTTCTCTACAATGTGGTTGATGATTCCAATCCAATTTTTATAACTAAGATCTTTTATAACAACAGCTATAGGTCACTATAACTGTAAATTACATAGGTATATTGAAAATTATTTAAAAGGTAAACAAAGTTTATAAGAGACAAGTACATAAATATGTTCAAAAACCCTAGAATATAAAAAAAAAATTAATTTTTCAAACCTTCTAAGGTCAAATATTTTTTATATTTTCAGTCATTTAAAATCAAAATAAATATCTGGAAACCATTGAAAAAATTTGGAAAAATAAATTTACATATGTATAAATATTTAAATTCTATAGTTATTCAAAATTCAAAATTTAATAAATGTATATCACAATTGAAGTTTTTATTAACTTGTATTCAACATAAAAAATTAGTTACTTTAATAAGTCCAATAAATCAACTAAATAATCATACAGATCATGTTAAAAAAATTGATATTCAAAAGAAATTTTCAACAAGAAATACCGAAAATCATAGAGTTCCTAAATTGTACTATATTCAAAATCCATTAATTTACATAAATATAAAATTTAAATTTCTACTATTAAAATTTTTATGGGATTGGGATTTTAAAAATGAAGATTTTATTAGAGGATCTACTCAGGTTAAATTAAAATTTTCAATATTTTATTAAATTAAATAATTGCTCGTAATAAAATATCATATTACTTTTTTTTTTAAATTTTAAGGCAGCAATTGTTATTACGGATTCAATTCGAAATTATAATTTTGATCAAATCATATTTTATACAACTGCAATGGGATTTCAACAAATAAAAAATGATATGATAATATCAAAAAATGATATTAGATTAAAAATGGTTCGTTTTCGAAATATTGATATTATGAATGCAATTCCAATGAGAGTAAGGCTAATAAAAACAAAATGTAAATAAAAAACAAATTTTATCTACTTATATAATAAAAAAATGTTATCACAAATATTTATTATTATTTTTTTAGATACAAAACATTGTATTATCGATATGTTATTTGTTGGACTCCGGAATATTAAAGATTTTGAAGAGAAAAAAGATTGTGATGAAATGCAAAAATTACTTCAAAAATATATAAATTTTCTAACAACACGCTCTAATGCATCATTGATCAACAAAATGAGAAATAATGAAATACAATTAAATAATGATTCAATGCGTTATATATTTGCTGAGGTATTAATTAGGTTTTGTAGAGATTATTCCGATGAAAATAATTTTAGTGACTGGAATATTATATTCTATAAAATAATTAAATTTGATATTTTAATATCACATGAACATAATAATTGAGATATTAGACATTAAAAAATACAAAAAATTTTGAAATAAGTAAAGTGAAATTAACAAAAAAATATTATGTAAATTTTTGATTTATTTTTAATTTATTTGCTGTTAGTGGATAATGACAATAGAGAACGACTCAAAAATCAAATAAATACCTATTTTATATCGACATGGCGTTTTTAACATGTAAATATTTAAATATCAAAATTTGAGACTATATTTAGAGTAAACCTATAATTAGAATAACAATCCCTACCTGCTTATATTGTATAGAGGGGCGTTTATTGTTTTACAAAAAATTGTGATAACACAATATTATTCGTAATTTATAACATCTCCATGCTTATACGATATGTAGGTATAGATAGTTTCACCTAATATCTTGAAATTCAAATTAAATTTTGATAGCTGATAGGTAGTGTTCCTTATTTTAGCAATATTTGTTTTATTTACAATTATTTAATTTACTTTACTTAATTACTTATGAATTGTGTAGGTAAGGTTAGCCTACTTTGACGCGGCCATCCAAAGATACACAAAAGTAGACCACTTGGACTCGTTGTGATTAGCCCGAGTTCTTTATAAACCGGTTTACGTCCCTTGAATTTACATTCGCCAGATCCGTAACGCACAGAGATCAATGAAATCCAATGAACATACGCATTTCCCGTGCCAAAGACGGGCTCGAGCAAAGAAAATGAGTCATTAGAAATTAATTGTGTAAATTAGGTACCAATTTGAAATTTTGCAATTGAATTTTGTACATATTTATATATATTTTATGAATATGTATTTCCTACCAACATGGGTATTACAGAAATTTTGTAAGGAATAGGTAGGTACTTATATGTGCATACATATATATAATTATTTACTTATAATATAAATTTTAAATTTTTATATTGTCTAGGGCACGACATGATACTTAACTAATTTACTTGTAATTTTTGGTTTAAAGTGGAAAAGACAAAAAAAAAAAAACAAATTTTATAGCCTTGGATGTATTTGACCTTGTTTGAATGATACAATAGTTAGCGTTTTTTTTTGTTTTTGCCTTTATTCTTTGCTAACTTATTAATACCTACATAATTTCATTCACATATATGAAAAAATATCCATATTATTAATAAATAGAAAAAACATGAATTTACAAACAACGTACACAATTTTTTTTTTTTTGCATTTTCCATTTTACATCTCGTGAGTAAAAAATAAATTTTAATATTATTTTCTAGTAAAAGGTTATTGCTTCTTTACAATAAATGTATTTACATATCTATTTGTGTACTACACTTAATTATTATATTCGTACTATTCGTACTAATTTATTAAATTTGTAGTGTATTACATACTTAGTTAGTATTACTGCAAAATTATTTTGTGTTTTGCTCAATTTTTGTTTTCCGAGTAAATGCAAAATATAAAAAAAAAATTTAAATATTTTTTTTAACATAAGTATAAAATAAACTATTGATAGGTTATGGGCACCTAGGGTACCATTACGAATAAAAACTACAAATTTATAAACTTTCGTATATTTTTATGAAAATTATATTTAGTAGGTAGGCAGTTATTTACCTACCCTTTTTATAGTTTTACGCAATTTTTTTTTGTAGGTAGATATCTAAGTAAAGGTTTTTTTTTAAACAATTTGTGTGTGTGTTAGACCGTACCTTTTACATTATTATATATTGTATGAAAAAAGGGAAATCACTTGTTGAAACCACTACTTAAGTAATACTTTATTTGTTTTTCATCATTTAGATTTAATGCTTTCGATTTTCCTATGTTTTGTTTTTCTTTTTGTTAAATTTTCATTCAGTCATTTTGTTTTTTCTTAATATTGTCGAATTCACATTAAAAACAAAAGATACAAAATAAACATAATGTAATAAAAAAAAAATAAATTAATTAAGCTTTCGATAGAAGAGAGACAAAAAAAAAAAAAAGCAAAATAATGAACAGGTAGGAAGACATTCCCTATTCATATAGTCAAAAATTAGGTTTGTCGCTAGTCTCAATTTTTCTATATCACTGATTCATACAGACTTGCTTTTCTAAGAATGGAAATAGATTAAAATTATGGACTTTTTGATAATGATTTTAAATTTTTTAGGGAATACCTAATAAAATGTTATTTTATTTTACATATTTTCTTCTCTAATTTTAAATCAGTTGATCTAGATATATATACATGACTAGGTACCTATTTACTTTACCACATACTTACAGACATTTCATATTATTTACAAATAAAGATAATTGGTCTGATTTTAAGTTGTTATGTATTCAAAATAACAAAATGAATATTTCTAGTATGTTCAACAAAAAAACAATACCATTCATAGCGAATTAAGAGTACATACATATGTATATAGGTATGTATACCTACATAAATAAAAAAAAAAAAAACATTCAATCTAAAATTGTGCTGATGTAGGTAATTTTCAGACAAAATGTTCAACTAAAAAAAAAAAAAAAGTAATAAAACAATAAGCACCCTAAAATTATAAAATAGTAAAGTAAAAGTAAATTCACAACAGTGATCAAGGTAAACTTACCACATAGTAAAAGAGAGGAAGTGAATTAAAATTTTTTGAAATTAATTTTTCTTTTTCTGCTTTTCCACATTCGTCAAATTTAATAGAAAAATTCTTATTTTTAATATTATCAAAATGTTTTAAATTTTGATTTTCTTCTTGCATATTGCATTTCTTCCCACTCAAAAATTCTGTGATACATCCAGTCGGTTTTATTAAGCCTTTACAAGATTTTTTAATATTTGATTTTTCAGTGCATAAAGCTGAAAGCGGTTTTTCACACATAATTCGAATTTATATGTATAACTATAATAAATTTCGATACTGATGACTGAACATGATACTAACAACGTTATAGATATATATATATATGTATATAAAGACAATTAAAAAAAAAATTTAATTTCAAAGCGTAAAGCACTACTTCCTAATTTTGCATTTTTTTTTCTTTTCATTACATGTTACGCTTTTAAATTATTTGACTTAGCGTACATACGTCCCGTATTTTTTTTTTTTCACTTTAATTTATATATTATATTTAACATGTATGTATGTAATGTAAACGGATATATATATGAATTTTATAAAAAGATTTTAATTTCGTTTATATATTTTTAAATAAAATTAGAGCACCAAAATGGAAAATATTTTAATTTAATATTTTATTCATCGAAATTATTGAAAAAAAAAAAAATATGATCTCAATTAAAAAAATTTTCACTTTTTTTTTATTTTATTACTTAGAAAAAGAAGGAACACTGTTATTTTATCACCTCATTTTCTAATTATGTTTTTTTAAGCTAAACAATATAAAATTTCTATTTTAATTAATTTAATATCCATTACACTATAATATTAATGTTAAATTTCCTCGAAAATTTCATATTGGAAAAATGAAATGTCAATATAATAACCCAAATTAAAATATAACAAAAAAAGAATGTATTTCGCCTGAATTGAGTTTCATTTATTAGCAGATGTTGAGATACTTTTCTAAATGACAGTAAAATAAAATACATATATCCCTGGTGGCAGTTTCTAATACTAAATTCTGAAATGTTGCTATAAAAAATTACAAATTTCTATTGAAGTAATATCTTGACATTAACATTTATTTATATATATTGTTTAATTCACAATTGCATTAAAAATTATTTTTTATCAGTTCGTTTGTTGCATAGTGCGTTTTCATTTCATGATTTTTTAAATTTAAAGTGTCAAAATAGTATATACTACGACTACGAAAATTATAGCCAAAATAAAAATCAGCTGATTGCTGTTCCAAACTCTTACAAAATTAGCAGATAGTTTCATAGCTATAAAAATCATTTATCTGATAGTTATATGATTTTTATTTCGCCGTAGTATCCATCATACATAGAAATATTAAATTTTTTTAGTTTTTAAAAAATAATTACTTTTCACGATAAGTATTGAGAAGAATTAAAAAACGGGAGCTCAGCTGTTTTTCATTTTTGGGGGCAAAATTTTTTTATCCAACTATTGTGACAAATTGTAGTTATAAGCATGTGTCACAATTGTATAATTGACGCTTATTAAAGTTTTAAGATTCAAAAAAATGAATAGATTTTTATTTTAATTCATTGTTTGAGCGTTTTCGCTTTTTAAAGAAGCGTAGAGTTACATTTTGTAAAAAATGTTACTGCTTTTAGTTTTTTGTACAAGTTTTTGCGAACAGTTTTAGGTACAAATTTTTACGAACAGAAAATGTAGATCGTGTTCTACACGTTTTCTAAAAATTAAAAAAGATTCTACAGAAAATTATGTTTAAAATTTTGACACATCAAATTTGAAAAATTATTAAATTGTAGAATAATCTGATTAGACTCAACCTGTGACTTAAAAAACGACTGCGCTTTCAAAAACTGAAATAAAGCTCAATAAAATAAAATTTAGAGCACTCCGTACATAGTGAACGGAGTTAAATTTGCTGTTTGTTTAAACAGTAGATGTCAAGGCAGCAGATTTGGTGAGCTTTCATTTAATTACATGAAAGTGTAATTCATTTTTGTAGGTGTCAAAATATGAAGTTCACCCTTGAATCTTGATTATCCTTATTCATTAATACTTAATTTATTTTTTACAGATTGTTCAATCAAAATTTTAAAAACATTTGAAATTTGATATTACAGAGATTTTTAAACTATAACAAGTTAACCTCTCAAAACATTTTATGTTTAAAATACTCCACTTAAAGTTTGGCAATTTAACAATACCGCAAATTCTTTAACGTCAAAATTTTGTTTTCAGTCTGCATGTAAAAAAACGTCAGACTGTCTGCATGTAAAAAAAAAGAATCTACAATTTTGACGCTTATTTGACTTTTTTTAAACGTTTAAGAATTTAAACTTTGACTGAAAGTAAAAACGCAGTAGAGTATTCGTAAACTCAGACAACTCAGATTTTGTAAAATTTGACGTTTAAGAATTTACCAATACTTTTGAACTAAGTAATAGGTGATAATTGAGATTTATGAAGATTAACGAAAGTTTACGTTTACATTGCAATTAAACATTGTCAATCTTTCATATAAGTGCATATAGAAAGGTGATAAATATTGATTGACATATAAATGCTCATCAATCTTAATCAATTCATTCTTGATTGTCAATCTTGGATTCATATATAACCACTGTCTTTCTTTAAAAAACTTTAAACATAGGAAAATGTTGACGTCATAATTTTCTCCCATTTCTTCTCAAAAAAGTATTATAATCAAACGCTTTGCATACTAAAACTTTAAAAAGTTTTAAAAAATTTCCATATACCAGACAGACATAATATTCAAAATACTTTCATCGTAATCCAGCAACTTTACAAATATTAGCTTTTAAACTTTAAGTTTAACACTATAAAATGGTACATACTTACTTTCAATTTAATTTTCAATAACAATCGTACATTTTTCGTATTTATCCTTATATTGATAAGAATAAATGCGAAAATTCAAAAAGGATTTTTTGTTTTTGAAGACAAATTTATTTGTTCTTTATAATAAAATGATTTTTCTTATTTTCTTATAATGTATGCACATATGTATGTACAGTTTACGTCTATCAAGCAACCAAGCTGAAATAATTTTCAGAAATAACAAAATTTTCGAAGTACATATAACAATCGAAATTGTCTGTTTTTTTCAACTTTGAGTATTTTAAGCATTATTCAAAAGCTTATCTTCTGTACACAATTGTACAAAAATATACATACATAGAAAAATGCAGGGGTGGGAGTGCATTGAACATACGAAGTTTCATTATGTTGTCCAACTGCCGTTTTTTAAATTATTATTAAAGTTTTTAATAATTTTCATAATACATACCTACATACATTGTACACTTTCAATATAAAAATTAATAAAATTTTATATTTAACCTTCCAGATGTTGTGTTATCGGTGGTCAATATGAATTTATGTGTATATACATATATTTAAATTGAATGAAAACGGTGATTTAAGAAGTGGGAGATGCTCTCTTCTCATCAAATGAGTAAATAAGTATATATTAAGCCTCTCTTTTTCTTGTTTCTTGTCAATTGGATTTTTTTTGCTTTTACATTGAAGCAGGAAAACATTGCAAATTATGATATAAATTTTTCTTATACGTGATAATACTTACGTCCGATAATAATAAAACTTTCTCAAGCTAAAAAAAAAAATTAAGTGTGGCAAATTGTATTTTTGTTATACTAATGAGTTTCTTATGTTATGGGCAAATAAATCTGTTTACACTTTTGTTTTAATTATAATAAGTAACTTTAAAATAATATTTTCTAGTTTTATTAGACAAACCGATGAGCAAAAAATTCCTACCTGCATTGAATTTTGTGAGACCTCATTCATTGAATACATGAGAATTCTAACATCGCGGTTAAAATAACACTTTATTATTATAAAATACAGTTAGAATTCTAAATACTGAATATTTCAGACAGTATTACTGTGATTCTGGTGATTGGGAGCGATTAAAAAACATTTGAAAAAGGTAATTAAAAATTCAATCATACACTTACATTTCGATATTTTGCATGTCAATAAATATATCTGAATTTCGCGACAAAATCACTTTATCGAGTTTTTCGTTGATGGTATTAGCTATACCATTACAAAAATAATTACTCAAAAAAAAGAGCTTCTCATCTTTGTTTTAACTTAAAGATATTAAATTTACATTCGAAAATGTTATAAAATTTCAAACAAATAAATTACACAGATGTGCAACAGGTAAGGAGAAAAGTTTCGTATGAAATTTCAATTGCAGGCAAAGCTGTTTTTAATGTAATGCTCTGTGGATAAGAAAACAAACCAAACCTTTTGCTTGCTATTATTATTTCATAGTAACTTTTCTTGGACTAGTTTACACATTTGGTATTATCTGTGAAATTACCAATTTCAAAGGTTTTACTAATCCTTATATGATAGATACTATTATAACTACCACTTAAAAGTTAAAGTTCCCTTAACAAAGGACTGATCTTTTTTTTTTGTTGAAGGAATTGGTATCTATTATTAATTCTTATTCATCAACAGAAATTGAGTATTGAGCAAAATTTTCATTTTACTTAAGATATTTTATCAAACATGTAAGTATAATACACAAATGGACTAAAAAAAAACTAAAATAATTTAAGAACATTAATTCAAAGTCTTAAATTAAAATAATGTTATAAATATGTATATAAGTTTAAAAATTAATGTCTGATTAATAAATTCTAGAAGAAACTTTTCTTTTTATTTAACTGATTTACCGAAATTAAGAAGCTTAAGAAGTTTATTTGAATAATATTACTTAAAGTCCTATCAGTTATAAGTTTTTAGCAAAAAAAAATAAAATCTAAATTTATAATGAATTATAATCATATTCAGATGTAATTTATATTGCAATTAATTATAAAAGTTTATAAATAAAAGAAAATATACCTATTCAAAATTGAAATTCTTTTTAAGTTAAAAATAATTTGTTTTTAATAATAGAGCGCTAAATTTTTATATTATAAAGCGTCCAATGTAACATTGATACCTGTAAAAATCTACTTTTAAATATTCGTTCCATATTAAAGTTTATATATTATATAGCTTTTCATTATTATCATTTTTTTACTTGTTGTTTTTTTTTTTGTATAATTTTTCATATTTTAATGAAAAATAATTGTTTTTTTTACATTTCTTTCTTAATTAACATTTGTTTTTGGGAAGGTATGAAATGTTTTCACGGTGAAGTGAAAGCGATAAATAATTCGATATCCTTTGAAATTAATTAATTATTATTAATATCTTTTATAATTTAATGTTTTTTTTTTAAATTTATTTTTAGAATTTGAAAAAAGAAACTAAATTGTTCTAATTAAAATAAACGGCAAGGTAACAATTAAAATTGCAGAATGAAGTAATGATTTCATCATAAAACCTAATAATAATTTAAACACAATTTATGAGAAATTGCTAGAAATTGTTTTAAAAAAAACTTTTTCAAGTTAAGAAAATGTTTTTTTCTAATCTTTTAATTTAATTTTTTATTCCTTCTTCTAAACGTCTTCTTCCATTTTTTTTTTATAAATTTTCTGTTTTTTATATTTTGTTTTAAATCAGTTTTTCTCTTGAAATTTTTGCTTATTTGTTTTTTTTTTTATTAATATATTAATATTTTCCTTAATCATGCAATTTTTATATCGTTTAGTTTGGTTTTTCAGTTTTTAGCACTTTTCAAATGATGATTGATTTGTAAATTTTTTAAAAATTGTAATAATCATTAATGATAATTATTTTAATATTTATATTAAGTAGATTTTATAATGTAGCATTTTTTATTACAATATTATGACGGATCGACTGTAGTACTGGAACGCATCACATAGCATATTTTCTTGTCCATTCTCGTGCCAACTCATTATATTTCTCTCGATCAGTTTTATATATTCTTGCAATCTCCGGTACCAAAGGATCGTCTGGATTTGGATCACAGAGAAGAGAGCAAATTGATAATAAAACTAAAATAATAAAACAAAAATATATTAATAAAATAATTATTTTTTTTTTGTTTTAATAATAATTAAATTACCTTTTGAAATAGTTAATGCCGGTGACCACTGAGATCTTAATATATCAAGGCAAATCGACCCATTACTATTTATATTTGGGTGATATATGCGTGTTGTAAAAGCGACTTTTGGTGGTTTAAAGGGATAATCTGTTGGAAAGTGTATTGTTAGGAAAAATACGCCGCCTTGATAAGGACTATCGGGCTAAAAAGAAAAATTAATATATACATGTATATAGTGAACTAAAAATATATTATATGTATGTATATTTTTTTATATAAATAAAGCAATAAGTTTACACAATGTCAAAGTGTTTGTACCTACATATGTCAAAATTAAGATTATTTTTTAAAAAAAATTAAAGGATAATTTTTAAGAAAAAAAAACACCTTCACGAAACAAATCTTATTATTGTTTAATGGAAAAACTAAATTAATTCTATCTTACATATAATGTGTTTAATTACATTTAATGTGTCTCGTTAAGGGACCTATAGAAAGGACCTATTGCAGTCAAATGCAAATAGAAGTAGACGCAATGTCGGTAAATTTAAAAATTAAATTTTTCTTTCATACTATTACTGATATTAAAAAATATATATAAAGGTAAGTATTTGTGATTGAGTAAAACCAAAACAATTGGTATGTACTTTTTTTTTGTAATTTCGTTCTCCTTTTCTCGCTTATATTTTCTATGCTTTTTTATTTTTCTATAATATATATACATATATATATTTTCTAACGCTTAAGGTGTAATTGAAGTAATTCATCTAATACACATTTTAGTTTTACATGCTTTCTAAAATTACTATATTACAAAAAATACTTGTAGAAACCACAAGGACGAACTAAGTCCTTCATACTTCTCATTTAATGCATACGTTTGTATATGTGCATAATATAAATCTACATATTTGTATGAATTTTTGAAATATAAATATTTAACATTTATTATATTAAATATAAATATTTAATATAATATTATAGAATTTTAAATATAAATTGAAATTTGGCAATCAAATGTTAGTCAGTAGAGGAATTAAGTTAATTTCTTAGTTTTCTCATTATTTTGTTTACAAGTTGAACAATACTTAATATTTTTTTTCTAATTTTTTCTTATAATTCAAATTTCTTATCATTTATTTAAATTTTAAACTCAATATCGAACTAAAACTCATTTAATCTGTAAATGTAAGTAACATTTTGCTATTTTCGCTAAAAAATAAAAGTATCAAGCTGAAAAGTTTTTGGTTTTCGGTTATTTTTGAAATTGAAAAATAAAACAAAGCTCAAAATTTTCATTTAGTATGACGTATGCAGATATGTAAGGTCTATTTTTTATAATTATTACGAACACTCTCATCATTTATATTTTTTAAATATATTTATTAATAAAAAAAATGTAAAGAATAAACTGTTTTTTTTTTTCAAATTAATATGTAGGCGGTTGGATAACTCCTACTCTCTCTCTATAATATGTTTATAATATATAGAAATTTCAATATTCACATTATGCCTACTTTCACTGTGCTTTTTTTTTAGCTTAATTAATATTAAATTTGTGCTTTTTTATGGCACTGTAAAAAAAGAGACCAAAGAAAATTTTAAAATATTTTTCAAGTACTTTTGTAAAGATTTCTGAAATTTTAATATTTTCATAAAAATATTAAATTTTAAGTATGAGTATTTCTTATATTCTTCTATCTATACAATTATAATTTATGGAAATCATAAAATCACAATTGTACCTATGGAAACTTTTATTTGGTGAACTGAAAACTTGGAGACTTCAAATTAAAAATTCTCTAAATTTTTAATTTTCAATTATTATTTAATGCAAAAAATCTGTTATTAATTAAATTAAGGATTCAATAGAAATTTGAGGAAGCTTTTCCTAAAAGAAACGGTTTTTTCTTTCCGAATTATACATACATACATACGTAGATAAATATTTATTCCCTATAAAATAAATTGTTTTAAAAACAAAAATCGGATTTTGTTTTTTCTTTTTCAATATAAGAATGTTCCATTGAACATTTTAAAACAAAATAAATGAAAATATTCAAATAGTACAACATACCTTTAAAAATTAAATTTAGAAGAATAGAAAAACAATAAGAAAATACTAAAAAAACAAAAAATAAAAGGAAATTTATTTCAGAGAGAAACGTACTCTAGTCTAGTTCAAGGTTATTTTCGTGCTAAAACAGAAGAAAATATTAAGAAAAACTTTGAAAGATGTAAAAAATTTCATTTTAAAGCATTTTTTGACGTTAATATTAAATTATTTTTAGTTATGTTTTTCAATTGAAAGCTCACCTGGTACTAATTCTAAATTATGTATTAAATAATTTTGATTATATATTTGATTTTTGGAGAAATAATATGTAAATTGCCTACAAAGAAATTTAGAGTTAAGATTTTACATTTATTTTTTATATTTTTCATCATTGTATGAAAAAAAAAATTTTCCTGCTTAACCTTTTATGACCTTTTCAGCAATATTATTTTATCCGAAAATAGAAAATTGCTAATTTCAATATTATAACCGTTTCAGCTTTTTATACCCGTACGAACGTATGTTCGAAGAGTATACTAAATTTTTCTTACCGTTTGTAACTCTAAGAAAATATAGTCTAAGATATAGATTCAAGTATATGTTTTTTATCAATGTCGAACTCTGAGACAATATGTTATCATAGAAAATATTGAAATCACAGTACTGAAATTTTGTATAAATTAATATGGTAATACGGCAACTTAAAGTACAAGTCTCTCTTATAGTCAGCTATGGCATATTTACTCGTACATAGGATAACAAATTCGTAAGGGTATCATAGAGTTGACATGGTCAACCCAATTTTTTTTCGTTTTTTTATAGAATTGTTTAAGTAATTAAAAAAAAAAATAAAATAAATAAAATGAATGTATCTTAAATTAAAGGACGATCACATATTTAAATTAATTGTGAATTCAAATTCGCATTTCGACAGAATAATTCATTTAATATTTGTAATTTAATTATTAATTGAAAATATAAATTTTAACATTAATAATTATTTTTTTATTTAATTTTCATGGCTTAAGACCACAATTTTTTAAATATTCGCATATATCAATAAATCATATTTTTATTTAAAGGAATTAAAATTAAAAAGTTAAAGGTTATTGCACCTTCATTCTCACGTATAATATCGGATTGAGTCGTTAAACATATTTTAAAATATAAATTTTTTCTACGTAGCCATATACAGATTGTACAAGTGTAAAGCTTGAAATTAAAAATATTACAAAACGCCCAATAAACCCAGCAAAAAGTTTTTGTAAAGTCAAATAAAACAATTAAAATATGAAATATTTGCTATTTCTGAGTTTGTCTAAATTTAGATTTAGTTCAACCATAACCATGACTTCTAAAGAAATGTACATAATAAATAAATCTGTCTGCGCCTTTAAATTTCCTTCGAGCCTCAGTAGAAAATATAATAATAAAAAAAAATAGTGATAGATAACAAAGTCTAGATAAATAAGAACTTATGCAACATAGACACATAACATGACTCTAAATAAAGTAGTTAAATTAAATAGTATAATCTTCACAAAAGAAAATGGTCTTAAATGGATTGCAGCTTGTCAAACAACTATGTCAACATAAACATGCTTGAAGGCAATGAAGAAAATTGAATATCGTTTTCATAAGGTAAAAATTTCGTCACTGTAAAAAAATATTTACTTAGTTTTAGTACTTAAGTGTTAATAAAAACATAAATGTTTAACACCAAAACAAGAGAAAAAATTTAAATTCAACTACTTAGTGAAAAATATTCTAGTATAATTATTTTAACCAAAATCTTTCTTTAAGCGATTTAACTTCAATTTTTAAACAATATTAAATTATGTTTTACAAGTTTTTTTGAAATACATAAATAGGATTTAATTGTTAAACTATTTTTAGTAAAACTAAACCGTTTCTTCTTAAAGGGAAACGGAAAATTTCACATATATTCATTTGCTTATAAGTCAAATTGTGCAATTAACATGGCCTTCCAAAATTTAAGTAGCTTACTATTATTCTTAGTGTAAATAAATTTTCAAAATATTGTTTTTTTATGATAACATAATAATTTTGTTTTAGTATGTGTGAATTTTTTGAAATTTTTGTGAATTTTAATCAACTGAGTCATGTGTTGAGATTGTAACTAACCATTATAAAATTGAATTTCTTTAGTAAAAAATAATTCAAACAATCACAATTTGCTTTCCAAGTTTTTATGAAAAGAAAACAAGAATGGCGATAGAGAGGTGTTTTTTCTTTAAAAAGAATGTTTTACCCTTGCATTATTTTCGGCTTTACAATTTTTCAGTTTTTGTTTTTAGTAACTGAAGCTCTTATAAGTATAATAGGCTGAACAGTAATTAGCGTAGGGTCCTCTTATGAACAAAAACGCAAAAATCCAAAATATGTGCAAAATTTGAAAATTAAAAAAGTAATTAATATTATAAAAATTTTAGTACGAAAAACAAAAATTACTGATTAATATCAGGAATGTGAAGCATTATCACTTATATGATATCTACTGACTTTACAGAATACTCGGTACGTTCAAATATGATCAATTTTTGCATATTTGATTTTGAAAAAGTTAGGAAAATTTTGGTTAAAATGAGAGGAAAAAATTTTACTTAACTACTACTTGATAAATAAAATATTGTACCAAATGGTCTAAAATATCGAAAAATTAATGCTTAATTTAAAATTGAATACAAAGTTTGCATGTTGCTTTAGCAGTTTAATTAAAACGTCTTATAAATTGGATGAAATTTTTGACATGTCATGGGTTCTTCTTAAGCTAGTGATTTTTGCTCCGCAAACAACCCACTATAAACTTAATTTAAAACACGCAATTTTTAAGTAGATGCGATATTCCTTTCATTTTATACATTTCATTTAAGGGGTTCCGTTCATAGCAAATTTGGCTTTCATCTAGTTATATGAATTTAAAATATAACAATGTAGGATCTTAAGTAGATAGGTACATAATTGAAATTCAATATATTCAATGAATTAAGTAAATTTGTGTTGGGATATAACTTTAACAATTTTTCTATTATGAAAATTTTATCTTACCGGACCCATTATAGTGGCTTGCCAGTGAAACACTGAAAATATAACAATAAAATTTTTAAATACATAAAAGATTTTCTAAAACAAAATAATTTATAAAAAAACTAAGTGAGATTTATTTATATAAAGCGTTTATAAGCAAAACTTTTACTTACAATCATCACCAACTGGCCCTGCCGAGCACTGTGCTGGAGGATCTCTACCCAAGTCCTGAAGTTCCTGTAAAAATTTTTAAATATTAATTATAAGAAATAGATTTAATTAAAATCATTTGGTTTTTAATTACAGTAACTTAAGTATTTAATGAATTCCATAAAACAGATTTTAAGATTATTAACATAAAACATTACAAAAAATATTTAAAAGGGTTTTATTTGTATTACTGTGGGTACTACAAATTTACCATAGTAAGAATTACTAGGTAGGTACTTAATAATCTACTTAATTGTAATTTAATATTTCACAGCGTAGACGATAATTTAGATTATTATCTTTAAAGTAGATCATTATTTGGGTGATGGTTTTGATGTAATTTAAAATTTAAAATATGAAATTTTATATGCATCTACGTACGTACGTTGTATGTATTATTATCATAAAAAAAAATATAAGCAATTCAAAATTTGCGATGCTTATCTTGAAGGAAATTGTAAGATTTTATAAAATTAATTTAAGTGATAAAAGTTTTATATTATAGGTAGATGTATACCTATCTCTTTATTTTACTTTATCACAATAAAAAAATAAAGAAAACATTGAAGATATTAAAAATACATCATTTGCACAATTTTTTTTGGTTGGAAATTTTCACTGAAAGTAGATACATAGGTAGGTAAGTATATATACAAGGTAAGTTACACTTTCAAGGAAAGAAACAATTAATAATAAAAAAAAAAACATGTGATAGAACTTATTACACTTGCGCATTTAAGTCATTGAGATAAAGTTAGATTTAATAAAGAAAACATATTTAAAATTAATTCATTAAATGCACTTATTAAATTTCCTTATAAAAGATATTTGTTACTAATTGATAAATTATTGTAGTTTTAATGAAAAGTTTAAATCATCTATTTTTAATTGCAAAATACCCTCCAGTTTTGAAATTTTGAGCTAAAATAAAAGAAGAGATAAATAATTTTAGTTTCGTTTTTTTTTTCTGTGTTTTTTACTGTTAGAAAAAAAACGTTACAAGTATGATATTTGAAAATAAGAAAACAAATCGCGCTTTTTTTTCATTTGAACCAAAACTGTTTCTTTAAAAACATTTTTCTTTATATGGGAAACTACCTTAGAAACATTTGATTTTATAAAACATTTTATTCATACTAAAATTGTTTACGTGTTTTTAAATAATTGATACAATAAAATTTTGATGCAATGCTCTATCGCAGCAAAATTTATTACAATGTGACTAAATCCTATTATATAAATATAACTATGTACATAGGTATAAGGAAGTAGCTACCTATGTATTTATCTATACTTATATTATCGTTATAAGTATGGGTTGTTTTTTAAGGATAGCAGAACAAAAAATAATTTGTTGACCTTTATATTCTTATTTATCTTTTTATAAGTATTTTTAAAATTAAACAAAATTTATTATTTTTTATTATTTACTTGGAAGTGACTAAGTGTAATTTGATTATTCTGGAATCTAGACACCAAAATTATTCATACAAAAATGCTTAACCTTGTGGGAATGGTGTTCTTTGTGAAATAAAAGAATAAAGTGTTATTTGATTTATGCGGTTAAAAACGAATCTCGTTTACAATTACTAAGCATGTACAAACGACAGGAACACGTAACTTATACATTTTTTTTTTTATTTCATAAATATAATAAAGAACGAACATCTATGTATTCACTTATGCTAGACTTTTTTTCTCTCATGACACATAAAATTACGAAAAACTAATCAATTTTAAACTTTAAATATTCATATTTTTTTTTATATAAAAATAATAAATATGACACTGCACATTTAATAACAAAATATTTCAATTTTTAAGTATACATAATGAAAATTTTAATGTTCTATTCGTTAGTAATCAATTTCGACCAAGATTATTATATACTAGCTAGCATTATATATATTTTTATACATATGTATGTATACATACATCATGGACGTACAAAGGTACTTTCCAAAAAAAAAAAAAAATGAAAACTAAAAGAAAATTAGAAAAATATTAAGGAATTTATCGAGATTTCATTTCGATACTTTTTTTTTTCAAATTTTGTTGTAAATTCTGGAGATTTTCTAATTTTTAATAATTAACTTTCCAATAAACACATATTTACCTTGTTGATTCTTTTTAACGCCATTTTTTTACTAAGTTATTTTGGATTAATATTCACGTTGTAAGAAAGAGCTTTCCAATTTAATTTTTTTTTCGCCCGTTCCAAAAATTATATATTAAAATTAAAAAAAAAAAAAAATGCTTTTTTAAAGCAAATTAAAATTTTTGACGTCCCCTTCTTGCTTTCACACAAAATTTATAAAAAAATCGTCAATTTTTTAACTTGGACCGAATAGACTTTCTTTAACTACTTTGCACGCAGTGCGATGAAATTTTAAACCAAAATGGTCTTTTTGGTTTTTTTCTTTGGGATTTTAAAAGTATTTTTGATCGAACTATAATTATTAAAGACTTCAAAAACCGTCAATCAAATTAATAATTGATCTTTAAATAACAATATTGAAATTTCAAAAATACTTTTACAAATTTTTCCTACTTTTTGATGAACAAATTGGAGTGAGCCGACCCGAAAAAGTCTGATGATGGCTACCATTCGGCTACTTTCGTTAAGTGTATCGTTTTGTCCGAAAATGGAAGTGTTTGGACGAAGTAATTTTGATAGATATGTCAAAATAGGGAAATACTAAACTCAACCATTTTCGTTAAATAAAAACAAGTTAACGAAAGAAAAATCTCATATAAATTAAATAATGCGGTTATATTAAACGTAAATGCGCTCTAAAATTACTAAACTTTTGTAGCAATTCTGTATTAATACAACAAAATTATAAAAATAGAAGTATTTTTATTTGGATAGATTTAAGGTGGTACTGAACTTAACTAAAAAAGATAACAATAAATTTTAATATATGAGGGATAAATCAAAATAAAAATCTTTGTTTTTTTCCGTTTACTTTATTCTTCCTTCCTTCCGCATTTCTCTACATTCTTTTTTTCCTTTTAAATATAAAATGTCAAAAGTCTCTCAACGAGCAAATAAAAATAAACAATATTGAAAAGTTGAAATGTGAGCGAGCTTTGAACATTATTAATTTTTGTTGTAAGATTATCTCGTTTTTTTTTTTTGGTGTCACATGTCAAATTAAAATATGTATGCATTTGTATATATGAGAATTTGTATTGCTCTCAAAAGAGTAGTTCTCTTCCAAATACCTATATATGTTATAAAATACAGATAATATCTTATATTCAATATATTTATCCGTTTTCAAAGTAATAAGACTCAGTAATATGAAATAAATTGACGCTTTTAGGAATATTTAGTCTAGGACTCGTTATATAAGACAATTTGTCTCAATAAGGTACTGTGTACATACATATATCACAAAATATAAAACTTAAAGTAAGCGTGATGAACGTCCTATATGTAAACATTATTTAACATCAGAAATTTTAAAAATAACTTCCAACATAAATACAAATCAGTCCATTTGATTTTAGTGAACTGGATTGTGTTTTTGCAGAAAGTAACCATCTACGAAGAAAGTGAGTAACTATCATATACTTGTAAAATGTAATTTTCGAGTTAGAAGAATTATTTAGTATTGCGTATCTCGTTTTTTCGAAATGCATACAAAATTTATTCACTTTGTTTTTGAATATGAGAAACGTTCGGTCGATAATTTGAACAAAAAAAAACGCAAAAATCCAATTGAAAAAATTAATAATTTTATTGGAAAAGTAAAATATAAAGAATTTTGATTTGAAAGTGAATGAAAAGTGAATAACATGCGAGATACACGACGAGGCTGTTAAAGTCAAAATCTACAAAGTGTCAATATTTTTAAAAAATGGAACAAAACAACATACTCGTAATATAAATTCTATATTTTTGTTTTGTAAAATTATAATTAAAAAAGATTCAGCGGATAACAGAAATTTATTGAGTTTACTTGGTTTAGAATTTATTTTAAAATTTTGTGAAACAGCATTAAAATTAATTTTACTGCAATTCAGAAAGGTAAGTTGACGTAAGAGTTTATTTTTTATAAACGCTTTATTATTGCAATAGATATCAAGAGTCGTCGTGTAAACTTAAAGTGTCAAAGTATTCGTCAAAATTTAGGTGATTGACATTACAGTTGCCATTAATTTAATCTATTGCGCACTAGGTGGCAACATATCTTCTTATACATTTAAATTGAAGCGCTGCTGCTGACATCTGTTTCAAATTTTTTAAAAATTTTTTTATCATAAACCAATTATTGTCAACTTTTAGTTACTCAAGGGCCGGCAATGCCTTTTTAAAGGAAAGACTAAATTAAAAACAAATTTACTTATGTATAAATTAAAAAATACAATATAATTAAAACAAATTTTATACTAATGTGATAATTGTATATAACTGTATTTCCATAATAGTTTCTTTATTTAATTGATATTTTAACTTACATTTTGTTTTAACCTGTGAAACAGAGAAATTTTTGAACATAACAAGTGATAATAAATATATTAAAAAGCAAAGAACATTTGCTTCATAATAGTTCAAATATACTAACCATTTCCTTAAGCAATAAATACATAGGACAGAGGCTAATATAAGTAATTAATTCCTCCAATTTTTTGATCTAATGTGCTTTTTTATGGCTGCTCAGGAATATGTTTTGTATGAAATGACTTTTTGCCTGGCACCATTTCCTTTGATATCTGATAATATTACTTGTTTTATATACGTATGTACTTTTAAGTACATGTTTTTTATATTAAAGGATACTATTAATTTTTATATATGTACATGTATATATGTATACGTAGTGTTAAAATTTAAACAATTTTTTTATCAAATAAAATACAATAGATTCGCAGTTTTTATTAACACGCATGATTGATTAGCTATGTAAACACACAATCTTTGGTGAACACACAATCTACTTACTAGAAATTAGATCTGGAAATGTAATATTTATATAAAATGAATATATGCATACATACATATTTACTCCATAATATATAACATGATATGTATTATTTCTTACTAAAAATTGCACGTATTTTGTATGACCGTACAATACACACACACCTAACTACATACTTTATTTTTTTGTTCTTCGTTTTTTCTCATAAAAAAAATTAAAATATTTTGAAAATAAAAATCTAACTCCAATTTTTGTTCTTAAAAAAAATATTTTTCTTATGATAAACAATCTACATATTCTCAATGAATAATAGAGTGGGTATAGGTTTCCTCCACAAGCCTGCTATACATATGTACATATTTCATTTTTTTCTTTAGTAGTGCCTGCCGACGGTATAACAGATGTAAAATCAAAATATTAAAAAAAATAAGTTAGTATAATAATAAGAGAGACACTCTCTAACTAATATACAAATATGTATGTGTATATGCACTAGGGTGAAAAAGAGAATCAAATTACAAGCAATGGGATTTGATAAAAAGGGGTGAAAAACACAACGTAGGAGACAGCTTTATGAAAACTCGTTGTATTGGAGGTTTGGGGATCATATACTTCGATCAGTTTTCTTAGTTTTTTTGCTAAGACAGGGTACTTATTATTTGAATGTTGGTGATAAAGGATTATTGAATTTTGTTTGCTGATACTCCATTTCTTGGTGCAAGGTCACTAGGGATTTAAAAAGAACAGTTTTCGCAAATCAAATATGTAAGTTCATTATAACTTCCTTCAATGAAATTTGAAGTCTTATGCAACTCCTTCTCAAGCTGGTTATCAGTAATTGCAAATATTTTGGGGAAGAAACCAACAGATATAAAAGTTCTTAGCAAATAGTTTGGAAACTGCCTGAAATTCCTTCTCGATGTTAGCTAGAGGCGCAGTATTGATAATGTAAAGAATATTTTCGTGTTGTTAAGAAATTAATTCATGTTGGTTTTTTCATATACTGTCTTCAGACCATAATTTTGACACCTTATAATATAGTTGCTTGCTTGAAATGGAAAAAACAACCCAGTCTTCGGCTTTCTGGTAAAAACTTTTTAAATGAATAAATTGCCACTAGTTATATTAAATTTATTTTTTAATAATTTCTAATAATTTATTGTACATCTTAAGCGTTTTACCAGTTTGTAGTCCAAAAACTGCCGCATGTTCAATATTTTTCACAAAGTGCAGCATATACAACTGGTAAAACAGCAGTGGTGCAATGGAAAACGTAACATCTCCCAACCAAATATCAGCTAACTCTAAGGCGCAACCCTCTCTTTTTTTTGTAAATATTATTTAGATATATTGGAAAGAATAGATCTTATTCTTTCCAATATATCTGAATCACACAACAATGTGGTACTAGATTTTCAGGCATGTCGGAAGAATTTATTTTAAAATATTTATTGTAATGCCGCCTTAGAGACGCTTTCAAACTTTTTCGGACGGCAAACAGAATCTTTCTTACATCGACGCCTCGAATGTGACGCCCAAAATACACTGCAAATAAGAAAAAAATTTGTTTTTCATATTATAGTATTTTAATTGTTGCTCTTAATATTATTGCAGTGGTCGTGGAAAGTAAAATAGCATCTTTCATTTTAGTAATAACTTCCTCGACCACCCCTCTTTTGTTAATGTCGGGCCGTCCGTGGCTGCGGTGTCTTTTCCTTATATAACTATTTTGATGGGTTGATAGTCATGCCAAATATAAGATTAAAGAGCAAGTAACTGCTGTAAATATATTTGAAAAAATAAAATAGTTATGAAGAAAACGTGGTGTGTATAAATTCAATATTTATGAAAATAACATGTCTAATTAGTTTTCTTAATCAACGATAATATTTATACAATTTATTTTATATAAATTGTGCAAAATGTTGGAAAAATTGTTCTTAGATTGTTAACAGAATTTAACACTTTTCTCGTATTCCATATAGATAAATTTTATAATAAATAAAACGGGTGCATTTAAACTCATTTATTTTGTTTCGTAAATAAATAAATGCAAATGAAACCAAATTAATAAATTATTGCAGTTCGTACGTAAAATTTTTTTTTTTTTGGTTGGGTATCATTACCTATATTTTTATATTTTATTATTGTGTACATAGTTTAGGGTTTTGTTGCATTTAACAATCGAATACAATGGGCAAAAATACAATATTGAACATTTACATTGTTGCAAAAAAGATTTATTGCTGTTGTGTAATACTCTCCTCTGTACAACAAAAAAAAAAAAAAAATGGAAAACATAAAAAACAATAAAATTTATTTACCACGATTACAAATAGAAACAATAGGAAATAAAATGAAATTATAGAATTTAGAATTTCCAACTTATATGCTTTTTTTTTTAAATACTAAATGAAGAGAAAAGGTTAGAATTTATTTCAAATTTAAAGTTTCGCTAAGACTTAATTGTTAAAATATTTGGGTTTTTAGTCGATACCTATAGCCATATGAACGTCGATTAAGAAAATATGTACTCGTAGTTCAATAGAATTCAGTGGTCTAAAATAGTTTTTCCAAAGTCTCCTTTGAGAATTATAATTTAAAGCGATAAAAATTACACATATTCAATAAACGTGCCCTAAAAATGGAAACAAAAAACTTTTCAGGTCTCTTGAATTTTGTGCGGACATT